TTTTTTTACAGTATATAGTTCCGTTCTCTGTGATAATCAGCTAGCTCGTTTCACCTATTTTTGTGAGAAGAAATTTCATGCTGATTTGTGAAAGATTCTTAGGATTGGAATTCCACTGCTGATATTCATATTATATCTCGTTAGCGGTAAAACATCTTTATATGGGGCGCTTGTGATATCAAACACTAGAAAAACACTAGCCGAAATCTTGTGATGAGAGCACCATGAACCGCTGCTCACCCGAGGAATTTGGAAGATTTTGACATCACGTATCTAATAAAGCTATAAGAAACTCACTTCTAACAATTAAAAGTTTGGAGATTGCTATATTCTCGTGCTTGTTCTCCGCGCGGCATATGACCGTTTGATTGGTAAATGGTTTCTTCTCGAACGAGCCACTTATGTGATTGATGTTCTCGGTGATCTGTACCTCTGCTATTTCGCTTTCATCACCATCATCCCCATAAAATAATCGAGGAATAGGCTGACCCTAGAGGATAAAGTGCTAAGGCGAGTATTGAATTGATGAAAACCATGCTCACTTGTGCACTGCACCTCAGCGCAACAGTTTGGCCTGGTTCAGCCTCCAAATTAGGTACATTTGTACTCTCCAAATTTATAACGATGGGCTGATCTGGAATGAATATGTCGTTTACACGTGAGGACAAAAATTATCCAAACACCGACAATGCTTGTCACTGTAGCACTCGATTGAATCCGAAATGATGCCAGGTCCGTCCTCAGTCGTCGCTTGCACACGAACGAGGTAGCGCGTTTCTGGTGACGTCACCGGCAACTCGATCTCTGTTTTATCCGTCTCCATCTTCATCCACTCGGAAAGATCCTCAGCATTGCGCAAGGCATAGTAGACGATGTATTTCTGTAATTTATTCATCAAGACAATAAAATAATAGTTGTGGCTTTCAACGGAAATACAGACGTTTTGTTCAGGGATTTTTCTACAACTTATACATGTCCTCATTTCGGAATTTTGTATGATTTCTAATCAAATTTGCACTTCCAATTGCATTAAAAAATGATATCATTTCATTCTTTCAAACATGTTGTTCTTTTTTCGTAGTTTTCGTACTGTTCCTGCACATCATAGTGACTATAGTGCCCTCAAAGTCATTGACCTGCTTCACAGTTAATTTGTGCAACTCACACAGGAATGAACAAGTGATGAAAATGAGAGTGATAACAAAATTTGAAGGTAATTCGATTACCAATAAACGGAAGAATTTAATTTTGAAACCACATTTATTGAGGTTGAGGATAGTAGTGCAACGTAGCAAGGCATGTTCTTCGCCTTATCTCTTTCCTTCCTCCTGTCTATCTTCTTCTTTACACCATTGCAAAGATAGGCCTCCCCTTCCATGAATGGCGCGAGATTTTGTTTACTTACACAAGTTATAAAAATGTGCAAATGACATGATCATACTTGCAAACAATTATTAAAATCCAACCTAACTTTCTTTCCAACAGGTGTTAATAGAATAATTTCTGAAATTTTTTAAGATACATTTTAAAAAGTTTTTCTCAAAATTTTTTTAAAAATTTTTTTTCGGAGGCCTGGCTGGCATCACCCTCTTTTTCTGACAAGGGAAGGATACATGGTCGAAGTGGAGAGTTTCCATAAAATGTAAACTATTTATAGAGTATGAAACGCTTATTCCAAATTTGCTTTCAATATCTGCGAAGGCACTTCTGGGATGGGTTATGGGAATTTTTTGAAGCAAAAGTTTAAGGAAATGGCTGAGGTAAGAACAGGTGTTGAGGTCTTTACGGTGCTTGGAAGGAGTAGGAAGTA